CTGGGGGTGTTCAGCCTGGAGAAGAGAAGGCTCCAGGGAGATCTGAGAGCCCCTTCCAGGAGCTAAAGGGGCTCCAAGAGAGCTGGAGACGGACGTTGGACAAGGGCCTGGAACGACAGGACAAGGGGGAATGGCATCACACTGACAGGGGGAAGGGATAAATGGGATATTGCGAAGGAATTCTTCCTTGGGAGGGTGGTGAGGCCCTGGCACAGATTATCCAGAGAAGCTGTGGCTGCCCCTGGATCCCTGGAAGTGTTCCAGGCCAGGTTGGACAGAGCTTGGAGCAACCTGGGCTAGTGGAAGGTGTCCCTGCCCATGGCAGGGGGTTGAAATGACACGATCTTTAAGGTCCTTTCCAACCCAAACCATTCTGTGACTCTAAGGCAACTCAGATGACTGGCCATGTCCATACTGTTAAACTCTTTCACCCTCCAGGATGAGGTGGCTGCATTAAAAGTATCTACAGGGAATCATCCCTAGTTCATGCCTGTGCCCAGGGATAGTTTGGGTTGGTGCCCGTTGGCCTGTGCCCAAACTGTGCCCAGGTAAGCTGATATTATAGAGCCATTTCCTGTACCTGCCCCTACACTTTTTCACTTGCCAACATGGATGTGGTGCTGCCTCGTGAAATTTTGCTATGGATGTTATTGCAGGATCCTCCTCTCCTTCCCCTCCACTCACTCTTCCTGCCCCAGAACACTCAGCAGTTATGGTGGTACATTATTTGGACCTAAAGGTGTTGCACTCACGCCAAAAGTTAGTGAAATCTCTGGCTTTTCTCCTGCAAACTAATTGGTCCTTTAGATTACAACAGTTCTATACCTGATCAGCCATTTCCCCTGCATTAAGGAAGTAGGTCTTGTGCAGTCATTTAGTTGCAAGAGCAGTTTTGAGTACAGGAATATGCTTTAAAATCTTGGAAACATAAAGGAAGGAAGGAAGCAGGCAAGCTGCAGGAGCAAATCCCATTTGCAGGCAGCTCCTGTTCTTACATGAGGGACAAAATCCCAGGGAAAAGTTCAGGCAAAGGAAAGAAAATTCGGTTGATTTTCCATGCTCTAAAGACTAAGAGCAGTATTATTCCTCTATCAACCTTGGGAGATGGGGAATGATGTGCTGAGCAGGGTCATATCCTCCAGCTTCATCTTCCCACTCTCTTTCTCTGGAGAAATTCCCATCATGACTTTTCCACTACAAACATAAGGCATAACAAGTGTCTAGAATGCTTCTGGGGCTTTGAAAACCCAATGAACTGTGATAGAACAGGGAATAGTACTAGAAGGGCAGGTGCCAACAAACTGATGAGCTCTGACTTGTATTCATTTAGACATTTATTCATTGAAAAAAATCTACTCTTGATTGCATCTGAGCATTGGTGCCTGCTCACAAAGCTGGTCCTTGTGCTTTGTGCAGGTCTTGGAGTTTGTTCTGAAATACAACCAGTTCCTAAGGAGACAACCTGAAAATCACTCAGGATTATATCCTGGGTCTGCAGCTGGAAAAAACAAGTGAAAAATAGCAGAGAATTTACAGGAAAATCGTTGTGAATTAAGGTCTGAAACCTGCTAACACAAGGAGGTTTGAAGATTTTCAGGTTTGGGGACTGCAACAGAGATAGAGATAAGAGATTGCTTTGAGACCTTTTTATTGATGTTTTGCCCTGAAAAAAATCCAAAGAAGTATTTCTCTCTTGAGGATTCTTGGCTGATAATTCATCTCATACTGGTTTACGGTCTGATTTTAAAGATATCAGAGTACTGACATCCTTCTGCCTCCTGATTGCAGGGAAAGATAAATATCAGCCACATGCTGTCACCAAAACCTACATTGGGAAAGAAACAACCCCCAGCTCTCTGCTGGGGCATTCTCGACCTCATGTTGTAACATAACAGAGCAATGTCCTGTTGGACCAACCATGCCTTGACCTCTCTGATCTCACTGGTATTGTCTTCCTTCACGTCCTCCCATGGCAGCAAGGTTGAAAAGTTTGCTGTTTGCAAATGTCAAGATATCTTTCTTGGGTTGCAACTGTGAGTCCAGTGTCGCAGTCTGGGTTATTTTTCCCTAGATTCATTACCTCAGTGTACTTCCATCATCTATTTGCCCAGTCACTTTATTTTATTAAGTTTCCTGTTGTTGACATAGCTTTTAAATACCCGAAATAAAATTGCAAACCTGAATGTTTCATTCTTTAGGGTTTTTTTTCCTATTCAGTTGCTGAAGATATTTACAAAAATTCCCCATATTGAAGACTGGGGCACCCCATGGATGACTGGTAATCACGGCCCCGGCACCCCCATCCTACTCTACGCTAAGGCAGGAGTGGGAATAGATGTAAATAGGGAAAGGGATGAGACCACCAAGGACAGGCTTGACCAGATAAAATGCTCATCACCATCTTGTCAGCCAGCCCAGAGCACTGAGTGCCACGTCCATTCGTTCCTTGAACACCTCCAGGGATGGGGACTCCACCACCCAGCAGTCTGTGCCAATGCGCAACAACCCTTCTAGTGAAGAAATTCTTCCTGATGTCCAAATATTAATGGACTCCTCCATCACTTCTCCAGCAGCCACTTCATCAGTGATTCAGGTACTGAGGGAAAAAGAGGCTGAAGACCTTTAATTGGCACCAGTGCCTGGGAATGAGTCTCACCCCGCAAACAGGAGGACCTACAGGTTGCCCAGAGATGTTGTGGAGTCTCCCTCACCAGAGACATTCAAGAACCATCTGGACACCATCCCATGCCATGTGCTCTGGGGTGAACCAGCTGGAGCAGGGAGGTTGGACCAGATGACCCACTGCAGTCCCTTCCAACCTCACCATTCTGTGTTTCTATGATCTTTATCCCTAAGAAGGTCCAGCAGACCAAAAGTGACCTTTCCTTGGTCACTCACAGGGAGATGTGACCTGGTCCTCAGCTTGGATGCTCAGCCTTGAGTCAACAGGTTGAAGTCAAATGAAAATGAAACTTCAGCTTCCAGCATAGTCATGGGATTGTGCTGGAATGGAGCACAGCCTGGTGACACAAGGGTGGCACGGTTGCTTACACAGCCAGAAAAAATCCTTGCTGCCTGACAAAAGATAGATCAAGTTTCTGTAATCATTTTCACCAGACACAAAAAGTCCAGAGTGGGACCCAATCTGGCTCTGTGTGCAGGGGTCCCAGCTCAGGAGAGCAGGGCTTGTGCTCACAGGGTTCACATCCTCCTCTGGTCAAGATACTTGTATGTCAATATTTAGAGTAAACTGCTTTGTACAACAGACCTCAATGGGACTAATCACAATTTCCTAAGAACTGGAAATAAAGTTATATATAAAAGAGCACTTGTTGCTGAGATTTACAGCTTTTTGGAATATTTTAAGCCTTTCTACCTCACATTTCCCCATTTGATAAGGCCTCAAAGATTTCCTTGGTTATTCAAGACAGAATATTTTAACTAGAAGCATTCAGAGAGTGTCTAAATTATGAAATAACTTGGTTATTAAGTAATTATGACAATTTACATGGGAGACATCAAGTTCTGCTCTCTGTTAAACTATCCCTTTGATTAAACCTCATCACCAGCCAGCTCTTCATAGAATCATAGAATGGTTTGGATTGGAAAGCAACCTTGAAGATCATTTAGTTCCAACCCCCTGCCAGAGGCAGGGACACCTTCTTCCCTAAATTGTGACTCAAGTAGCTCCTGCTTTATAAAAAAAGGCTTTAAAAAGTCAGAAGAGTTCAACCCATTGAAAAGTAAGAATAATTGTAAATTGAGCATTTTTTGTGAAATGTAAAAAACTGTTCCCAGTGGCTGGAAGTGAAAATAATACTTCTAATGAGAAGCATACCAGAATGATACTTCTTACCAAATATCATTCTTTCAAGAGTGTGCCAGTACTCCCAGGAACAGCATCTAGAAAATGATACTATATTGGGTTTTTTTCAGCTGTGGAAGGTCTGCAAAAGGAAACACCTGAGTTTCTTTCCATTCTGAGAAGTCAAAGAGACAAAAAAAATCACATTATAGAGACAGAGTGGCGGTACAAATCCTTCCCAGCAATAAGCAGCTGAGAGAATGGACTTGCACACACAGGGCTCATCAGGTACACATTCCAGCTGCAATGTTTTCCCCACGTTACAGCTGTGTGTGTTTGATCCACAGTCAGGAGACGTCTCACCAGCCCTTGAGTGCTCCCCTCGCTTCTCTGTGTTCGGGAGAGCTGGGGACGTCGGACTTAATGAACTCGGAGGTCTTTTTCGGCCCCGATGGTTCTGTGATTCCGCGGCGTTGAAAACAGCGAGGTGGCGACATCGTGAGGTCAAACACCGAGGGAACCTGCGCTCACTCCACCCATCGGTGACACATCAGCACCGCAGGGCCGTGGGATAAGGGCTCTCAGATCTGCGTTCATCACCTCAGTGGGAATGGGAGTCATGGGAGAACATACACGTAAGAGTTTTTCGGCACTGGAAGCATCCCGAGGCCTTGCCTGCCTTGGTTCATCAGCAAAGGGATCTTATCCCACCTAACAGCAGGGTGCAGAGCAGATGGACCTGGAGTTTTCTCAGAGTGCACAGGGGTAAGATGGAGGGCAGAAAACACAATTGGCATCAAGAGAATGTGTTGCCATGATGTGCCAGGCTCACAAGAGCCAGTGTTGCTATGGATAACGTGCCCTGTTTTGGATCAGGAGACTGCAGGCTGGGCTTTTGTCCAAGTCTTTGTCTGAAGTCAGACGCCCTTACCTTCCATATGGGGTTTGGAACCAGAAGAAGTGATACCAAGACAAGAAGCCACATCTGAGATATTCACTAATCCTGTCACCTTTGCAAACATAGGATAAGGGAAGGCTGGAGTTATCCAGATGCTTCAAACATTGGTCCAGCAAGGAAAGACCACTCTGCCATGGCTCATCTACTGCCCTTCACCAGGGCTGTGGGGAATAGAGCAGGAGGACAAAAACAACTGTTCCTGAGGTGCCCATCTCACATTCCACAGGTGGGACAAGCTGACCCCGGTGTGATTTGAACACACAGCCTTCTGATCTGGAGTCAGATGCGCTGCCATTGCGCCACGAGGTCAGGGATGGGACACTGTACCCCCAAATGTCATCCCAGACTTTGGGCTGTTCTTTGAGGGAAGGGAAATTTGAGTTGACAGGAGTGAGACCATCTTTGCCTATTGCCTTGCTGAATGAAGAGGGCTCTAAATGAGATACTTCAGAGGAAGAAGGCCAAAAATTACCACTGCCCAGAGCAGCCCTGCAGAAACAGGCACCTGGGCATGCTGTCTCCAGAGGGACAGGAGGGATGGCATGCCAGCATCTCCCTGGGGAAACAGGCCCCATTCACCTGGAAGATGGATCCATCTCCTGTGGCAGGAGGGACCCTCATGCCTTTCACACAGCCTGACTGGGGTCACCTTCCCAGGTGATGGATGGAATCTGCCCCTACATCTCCTGGATCCATGCAGTTCACTCTGCCCCTCTGCCCCATCCCTCCCTGGGCTCTCACCCTTCAGCCAGGTCACTGATGTTGTGGTGGGTGTCTGCCATGGTTTGCCTCATGAAGAAGCTGAAGGAAGTGAAGGCTTCCTCTGAAAAGTGAAGAATCTTGTAACTGCAGGCTCAGTCACCAAAGAGCCCAAATAAAGACTATGAAAGGAATGTTCCTGAAATATGTGATGATGACTGGAAACAGGGAACATGAATTTACCAAGGGCAGAACACTCTCAGACAATATAACAGATTTCTTTAAAGAAATTTCTTCCTCGGTCATAATTTTTCTTGGCTTTAGTTTGACCTCTGATGGGGTATCACAGACATGTCACTGCAGCAGGACACAGACACAGAGCAGCTGAGCTGAACCCAAAGACAAAGTGAAGTGGCACGACCAGGGGACAAAGGTGCTGGGGTCAGTAGTTGGCAGCCCAGCTGATGTCCTTCCCTGCCTGATGCTGCACTGGGTGTTGGTTGGTGTCTGTGGTGGGCACAGAGGAGGTTCTACAGAAGGAAGGACGTGGGCAGGCTGATGGGGACATGGGAATGACGAGGGGAATGGGCCAGTGGCGCAATGGACAACGCGCCTGACTACGGATCAGGAGATTGCAGGTTCGACTCCTGCCTGGCTCGACTCTTTTAGCCCAGGGAACTTCCTCCTGCTCCCTCCATCAGGACCTTCCTTCTCCTGCCCATCATCCCTCCTCCCAGGCCTTCTGCAGGGCAAAGTGCTGGGCTGCCCTCTTGCCCTGCAGGAAGGAAAGAGTCCCTCCAGACCTCATGGCCTCCAAAAGGGGCACAATGGGGTCAGCAGGTGGGACCAGAGGCTGGGGGCAGTGGCACAATGCACTATGAGCATGCCTGACTATTGATCAGGACACTGCTGGTTCAACTCCTGCCTGGCTTGCCCTGAAACTGCCTGGCTGTTGTGGAGGTGACAAAGGACAGCTGCCTTCTTGAGTTCCTTACTCTTCCAGGCTTTTTGTTCATCTCTCTGGTATCAGCATCCCAGGAACATCATTTTGTGACATCAAAGCTGTAAGCAGTGCACTCCTTCCAGAGCAGAACTTTTCAAGGCACTGACAAACAGCAGCAAGACCAATGTGAACCTCAAAGGGGGCTGAGGACCAGAGTACATGAGGTGCCAGGACAGTCTGGATGCGCTGGGTCTGCCCAGCCTGCAGGGCAGCAGTTCAGGAGACATCTGTGTTCTGCTGAGGGACTTGCTGTGGTGCCCCTGGCTGTGGTGTGGGTCCCAGCTCTGCCCCTTTTGGAGGCCATGAGGTCTGGAGGGACTCTTTCCTTCCTGCAGGGTAAGAGGACAGCCCAGCACTTTGCCCTGCAGAAGGCCTGGGAGGAGGGATGATGGGCAGGAGAAGGAAGGTCCTGATGGAGGGAGCAGGAGGAAGTTCCCTGGGCTAAAAGAGTCGAGCCAGGCAGGAGTCGAACCTGCAATCTCCTGATCCGTAGTCAGGCGCGTTGTCCATTGCGCCACTGGCCCATTCCCCTCGTCATTCCCATGTCCCCATCAGCCTGCCCGTGTCCTTCCTTCTGTAGAACCTCCTCTGTGCCCACCACAGACACCAACCAACACCCAGTGCAGCATCAGGCAGGGAAGGACATCAGCTGGGCTGCCAACTACTTTGTGACCCCAGCACCTTTGTCCCCTGGTCGTGCCACTTCACTTTGTCTTTGGGTTCAGCTCAGCTGCTCTGTGTCTGTGTCCTGCTGCAGTGACATGTCTGTGATACCCCATCAGAGGTCAAACCAAAGCCAAGTTAAATTATATTCCTTGGTATTCTCTTGACCATCATGGAAATCACCTCCTCACTGAAACCTATCACTCTAATCAAGAGTGTCCTGCCCTTGGTAAATCCGTGGTCACTCTTTCCAGTCATTTTCACATCCTTTCATTTGGGCTTGGATTTCAGTAGTATTGCTTCTGTAGTCTTCATGTTGGCCCTGAGCTGAGGTTGCCCAAACTAGAGCTCTCCATTTGGTCTTTCTTAATCTTCTTGAAAAAAAAAAAACTTCTCATGTTGTTCATCAGAAACTTGTCCCATTTTCCATAATCCTACACTGATTAAATACTCTTGACTCACCTCAAGGAATCCCCTGGACTGACTACCATTCCATGTTACCCTGCCAGGCAAGTATTGCTGTCCAGATCCTCCAGAAGTGACTGAGCTTGCAGTAAAAAAGCTCCCAGCATTTTCTTGAGGAAGACTTCACCTCCTTCGTGAGACAAATTGTGGCAGACACCTACCACAACTCTTCACTCTGTCACAGCTCCTGGCTCAAAGGCAAGCTCTGGGCATCGTGTTCCTCACACAGCCCATGCCAGAGGTGTCCCACTAGAGCTGCCCAGTGCCCCTCCCACAGAGAAGGCCCCCAGAAAAACAGAGGGGTGTTGGTGGCGCCCCAGGTGTGACCCCGGTGTGATTTGAACACACAACCTTCTGATCTGGAGTCAGACGCGCTGCCCTTGCGCCACGAGGTCGGGGTTGAGGGATCCAAGGACCCCAGGCTGGGTGGTGGGAATGTCCTTTCCATGGGGACCACCCCAGGAGGGTCAGACACCCCAGGAGCAGGGCTGTAGCTATGGAGGGGAAGGGGCAACCTGAGGGGATGTTGGTCAAGATCTGGCTGCAGAGATCAGTCCAGGCTGCAGGATGAGCATGCAGGGTGGGACGAGGGGATCTATAGGATCAGTTGCAGGCAGGAACCAGGCTCAGGGATGCTGCAAAGGAGGATGGTGGCCCGGGGGGGACCACGGGTGGGCTTTGAGTATGTACCCAGAAATAGTCATGGACAGTGTTTAGAGCAAAACATCCATGGGCTTGGTCCAGCTCCTGATGTCCTGCCCCAGCCACAGCCCTGTGTTAGCTGGAAATGGCAGCTGGACTGTCTGCAAGGAAGGAAAGATGCTCCACCAGTGCAGGCAAAGCTGACCACCAGCTCTGGCCAGCTGGAGTCCTTGCCTCAGGAAGGAAGATTGTCATGGACAAGGGAGGTGAAACCTCTCTCCCTCCTCTCCAGCTCCACTCCCACCCCAGCAAGCTGGAAAACAGTCTGCTGGGTACCAGGGTGGCTGGGGAGGGACATGGTGAGGGCACAATACAGGCAGGGGCTGGGAAAAGCTGTGCAACGGAGAAAGAACCTGCAGATTCCTGCCTGACTCAACCTAATCCTGCCCACAGCCAGGCCAGAGAAGAGGTCTCAGTATTACTACGGTTATGGAGTTTTTTAAAGTTATAGAAATGTTATAAAATTATATGAAGTTAGAAAAAAGTTAACTTCATAGTTATACACTTACCCTGAATGTGACTCCCTCCAGTGCCTAAAATTCGATGTCTGAAACCAAAAACCCACCCCCACTCTCCAAACATATTAATAATAGTCACACATTTACTCTGTGGGTTATCAATGCTGAAGATGGAGCAAAGAGGCATCTCCTCTTGCTTTTACCTTTCCAGCTAAGCAAAGGTCCCTGCCTCCTCCAGTAGCTCTTCCCACAAGAGGGAGCCAGGAACCAGCTCATGGGCTCCACAAGCTGCAAGTCAGGCTGGAGATAGGTTTTGCTTAGTGAAGGACCCTCCATTCCTAGGCCAGACTGGACAATCACCTTGTTTCCTTCCTAGACATACAGAATTTTTTTCCCCAGAGCCCATTTTTTTTTTGGTTATTAGTCCCAATGGTCACTATTAGACTTCCCCCCCCCAGTTTTCCCTGCTGAGCACCCCCAGTGGCACCTCTCCTCATCCATCCCACTCTGGTACTTGCTTAATTTCCAACTGCATGACACAATAGCTGAGATTCAGCTGCCTAAATTCAGGTATCTAGTGTTGTGTTACAGGATCTGCTGCCTGGTCTCTATTTGTCCCTTCAAAAATATTGAGTATCCCACAGACTCTGTTCCATGCAATATCTTGGATGCAGCAGGATATTTGTTATGGTGTTATGTTCAGGTAGCTGAATCCTGCCTGAGGGTGGAAGTCAGCCCAAAGATGTGGCCATTTCAAGTAGGTGTCTCCCCACAGGAGTGTATTACTGTGTTAGACTGTTGGGTCACAGAATGCTTTGAAGAGATGCAGAAGACCTTTATGGACACTTGGCTTTCCTGTGTTCATTTGTATTTTTAAGTAGAATATAGTGTTGTTTGATATCAGTTTGACAGAAAACTGAAATTTCCAGATTTCCCAGCAGAACACCCCATTCCCCCCAGTGTCCCTTTCCAACTCTTTAAAATGTTATAAATAAGGTTAGGTTTCCAGCTAGTTTGAGGAGCACAGCACCTCAACTGCAATCAAATCCTCCTGATTTACATTGCCATAATGAAAATCTGGATAAGTTCTTGGGGAAAGCAGATGTTTCCCATAATTTTAGTGTCCCAGGTTAATTCAGGGATACCCCAGGCCCACTGACTGAAAACTTCAAAATGAAAGAGAAGTCCTTCCTTCCTTCCTCTCAAAGGGATGTGAGTCCCAGACCAGATTAACAAGATTTCCTCCACAAAAGAAAGATCACTAAAGGATTTACCTTTAGTCCTCATTATCCAAAGCCATCAGGCCCTTCTACTCTGTTCTTCCCCCTCTACTCTGCTCTGCTGAGCCCCCACCTGCAGTGCTGTCTCCAGTTCCGGGGCCCCCAACACAAGAAAGACATGGAGTTGTTGGAACAAATGCAGAGAAGGCCACTAAATTCATCACTGAACCAGAGCCCCTCTGCTCTGGAGACAGGCTGGGAGAGCTGGGAGCGTTAACCTGGAGAACAGAAGGCTTTGGGGAGACCTTAGAGCCCCTTCCAGTGCCTAAAGAGGCTCCAAGAGAGCTGGAGAGGGACCTGGGACAAGGGACTGGAGTGACAGGACAAGGGGGAATGGTCTTAAATTGAAGGAGGGAAGGTTTAGATTAGATAATAGGAAGAAATTCTTGGCTGTGAGGATGGTGAGGCCCTGGCACAGGTTGCCCAGAGAAGCTGGGGCTGCCCCATCCCTGGCAGTGTCCAAGGCCAGGTTGGACAAAACTTGGAGCAACCTGGGATGGTGGAAGGTGTCCCTACCCACGGCAGGGGATTGGAACGAGATGATCTTTAAGGTCCCTTCCAACCCAAACATTCCATGTTTCTATGACTCTATGATTGTCTATCCCTCAGACACACCTCTCAAATGTGATGGAAGTCTCCTCTGGAAGTCTCTGTATCTCCATTGACTCTCAGGGAAAGCAAGAAGATTACATTACATCAGATAGCTGGGATAGGTTTCCTCCCACATCTTTTGGAGGCTGACAGATCCCTCCACCTGAACCAGTCTTCTGCATTCCCTTCATAGACAGTGGAGAGAAGCAAGCACTGGATGAGTCGAATGGAATAGAAAGGACACTGGGTACATGAGTGGCTCCAAAGTGTAGACATCTCAAGTGGAGTGAGGGGAAGCTCCCATATAATTTCCTTGTATTTAATGTAAAACATTCACCCCCAAAAGCCTCAAAGCTGAAGATCTCCAGTTATGGGTGATTCATACTAATAATTACCAAAATAGTGATTCAAACCCTGCTCAGAATTCTGCAGTTGTTTACCTTTTTACACCCTGCATGGAAATGCAGGAAAAAATACCTCCAGTATTCCTGTCCACTGGTAAACTGGGAACAGGAACTGAGAACAGGCCTTTCTGTGATTATTGCAACACTGAGCATGAGGAAGTATTGACTACTTGGAGGGTTCTTGACTTTCTCCACCCTCAGCTGCAGGTCATAGAATCATGGAGTCACTGAGAATGGAAAAGACCTCTGGGGTCCTTGAGTCCAACCATTCCCCCAGCGCTGCCAAGGCCACCACTAACCCATGTCCCCAAGTGCCACCTCTATGAGGCTTTTAAACCCCTCCAGGGCTGATGGCTCCACCACTGCCCTGGGCAGCCTGTTCCAATGCTTGACAGAGCTTTCCATGAAGAAATTTGTTTCTAATATCCAATCTAAACATTCTCTGGCACAGCTTGAGGCCATTTCCTCTTGTCCTATCACTTGTTACCCACAAGAAGTCCACCTCTGAGTCTCCTTTTTTCCAGGCTGAGCCCCTCCAGCTCCCTCAGCAGCTCCTTGTAAGATATCATTAGGCAAAGGGACAAACTTCACCTGTGTGTAAGCATTTCTTTTGTGATCCATATAGAACCACGTCTCTTCTCTGGAATAACCTGGGAAAGGAGGAGAACAAACAAGAGCAAATGAAGTGCAGATGAGGCAGAATGAGATGTCACTTGAAATCTGAAGATTTTTTTACCTAGAATAGAATTTCTGATTATAATTTGAAGGGGGGGTGTGATTGTATAAACACTCAGAGCCTCATAGTGAGGACATCCATGTGCAATGGCTGGAAATCAGAAGGAACGATTCTGAATGTAAGATTACTGGACAAGCACTCCTCTTCCACCAGATTATTAACACAACTGAGGTTTTGAATTTGTCCTTAATTTCTCATGAATTTTTTTTTTTAAAAAACAGCATTTTCAGTCCATCATTGAACAGAACAGGACCATTTTTTAAAGACAATTGATGAGTTAGAAAGCTGGACTTCTGCTCCAGTCTGACAAAGTACAATGCCAGATGCTGTCTGAGAGCTGAGATGAATATCTCAGGTAGGATCTCCCTGGCTTCAGTGGGAACCTGAGCCAGCTGAAGGTTTCTTGACAGGGTCTTTGCTTCACCCCTTTTTCTGGAGTACTTGAAAATGGACATAAACATCTCTCCTGCCACTCTGCTGCTCAGGAGACTCAATGGCACCTGCAAATTTGAAATGGAAAGCTAACAAAGAAACCAGGGAGGCAGAGAACAATGCACAGCAGCTGAGGGGGAAGTTTATATTGTTGGTATCAGGGCTGCTGGGTCAGAACAACATCAATAAATATCAAGTAGAGAAACAGGCTCGAGTAAGTGAGCTGGTTTCTTCTGCTCTGAGGGAGAACCTGTGCTGTCAGCTGCCACCTCCACATGACTCTGGGTAACACCATTCAAACTATGTGTGGACAGATCCCTGGGAAGATTGTGTCATGAATCTCACCCGTACTCTGCTCTTTGTACACCTGTAAAGGTGCTGCTCATAACATCTGCAAACTCATCATCTTCACCTCATGTATCATAGTCATGGAATGACAGAATGGTTTGTGTTGGAAGAAACCTTAAAGACTATCCTGTTCCACACACTGCCATGGGCAGGGACACCTTCTGCTATCCCAGGTTGCTCCGAGCCCATCCAACCTGGCTTTGAACACTTGCAGGGATGGGGCAGCCACAGTTTCTCTGGGCAACTGAGAAAGTATGACCCTGCTGTACATCCTGTGATGTAACAGTGGTTCCCAAGAGAAAGAAATGAAGGATAATGACCATTTCACCCATAAACATATGAAATAATTGTATTTCGTTCTCTGAAAGGTGCTGTGAAGAAAAAGAAAATGTTTTTTCTTTGTCAGATTATCCTTGAAAAGCCAGAAAAGTGACAAAGCATTTCCTGAAACAAAGAGGAGTCAAATACTCATTTCTTGTTTATAGGCACTCGGGGGCTGAACAACAGCTTCAGGCAGTAGGTGCAGGAACCCACAGTGCTGACAGCTACTAAGATGGAAACATCTTAATTTTCTTAGTAGAAAAATGGCATTTTTAATAATAATACAGTATGTTCCATGGGAGTGAAGTCCTGGCAGCCCAAGCGCAAACCAAGCTGTTAATTCTAGATTCCTGTAACATCTTGTTCCCGGAGCATGGCAGGATTGTTCATAGAATCACAGAATGGTTTGGGTCGGAAGGGTCCTTAAAGATCATCCAGTTCCAACCCCCTGCCATGGGCAGGGACACCTTTCACTAGACCAAGTTGCTCAGAGCTTTGAGCTCGAAGCTCAGATTTGAGGATATGAAATGTGAGAGCTGACATACTCAGCCTTGGGGAGACTTTCTGGCAATTTCCACATGCTTTTATTTAAATACATTATGAAACCAAGTGAGCATTTTTGCAGAAGTGCAGGTTGGTGCATTCTGACTGACACGTGTTTTCCATAAAACAACAATCCATTCAAACTGAAACCCTGTGAGCTCTGGGCTTGGCCAGCTAAGTACAAGTATCTACAGCAAAGGTTTCCTCACGTGTGTTGGATCCTAAGGTCCCACTACAACTAAACAAGTGATCTGTGTCCTAGAATCAGTCATTGAACATCTCATTCCAATGCAGCCACATCCATATTAGATGTCTACATCTATTTGAACATAGCACTGACCACTGCCAGTGTAGCACCTTCCAGTACCTGAAGGGGCCTATAAAAACCTGGAGAGGGACTTTTAATAATAGCATGGAGTGAGGAGAGACTGGAGCACGTGGGCTATGGAAACAGGATGAGAGAGCTGGAGATATTCAGCCTGAAGAAGAGAAGGCTCCAGGGAGACCTGAGAGCCCCTTCCAGTGCCTAAAGGGGCTCCAGGAGAGCTGGAGAGGGACTTGGGACAAGGGCCTGGAGAGACAGGACAAGGGAGAATGGCTTCCCACTGCCAGAGGGCAGGGATAGATGAGATATTAAGGAGAAATTCTTGGCTATAAGGGAGGTGAGGCCCTGGCACAGGCTGCCCAGAGAAGTTGTGGCTACCCCAACCCTGGAAGTGTCCAAGGCCGGATGGACAAGACTTGGAGCAACCTGGGATACTGGAAGGTCTCCCTGCCCATGGCACAGGGTTGGAAGGAGATGATCTTTAGGGTTCCTTCCAACCCAAACCATTCTATGGTGATCCTCTGATATTCCAGCTGCCTTCTCTCCCACCAAACGATTACTAATTTCCTCCAGGTTGTCCGTTACCAACACCTTGATCTTTGAAGTCAACAAGCAACGACACTCTCAGGTGGGTCAGTGTTGAGAACCAGCCCTCCCAGTGGTCAGGCAGGGAGGTGTAGTCATTTCTCCACTTGCTTTCATGACCCTGTGCCATTGTTCAGGCTTAGCCGTGTGCAGAGGTCAGACTGAACTCGCTGCCTTCCACACTCACCCCTGCCAAGGTCCCCCAGACAGCCAGCCCTGCTCCCACAGCCCTATAAATGCCACAGTGCTCCCTCCTCCCCTGCTCAAAGGTTCTGGTGTTGTGGCCCTGTCTCCACGCTGCAGCTGAGACCTTCCACCATGAAGCTCTTCTCCTGCCTCATGGCTCTTCTCCTGTTCCTCCTCCAGGCTGTTCCAGGTAAGGGGCAAGACCCACGCTGGTTTCTGCCTGTGTAGGAGGCACAACTTGCTTGTGTGGTGGTGCAGAACATGCTCTTCAGCTCCTTTCGTTAGAGCAGTTCCCTATTTCTCACTCTAGAAGTAGAAGTGAAAAATGAACCTGTGGTGACCAGGTGTCAAACTTGAACCTCCTCACCAGATGTTGGTTTCTTATGACTCTTTGATGTCTTTTTGTGTCACTATTGGAACATGATACCATGGAAATCATCTGCCTCTTCTAATCCAGGGTTAGAAATTTTCTCCCTTGTGTAGGGCAGAAGAAAGCAGAGATATTCCATTTTATTACTCAAATTGAGCTACACCAGCAAAGCTGACTTCAGCTCTCTGAATATTCTGCTTCCCCTTCCTCTGCCCCTCAGCTGCACTAGTTTTCTGATTCTGTTCTTCATATTTCTTCTACATGTTCATCACGCTCAATGAAACTCCTCGTTCTGGAGTCAGGCTTTTGGAGAAGGAAGGAACCAGGCAAACTGCTTGTCCCCCTTAATTGGGCCATATCCCACTTTTTGGGGCTTTTTAAAGTCACAGTTACCTCCCAGGGCAGGTTTTCACCATGCTGTCCCTTGCATGACCAGCCTGCAGCGTTGCAGGCCGAGAACTTAGAAGCATCCAAAGGCTGGGCTGTCACTCCCTTCTACAGCATGAATGTTTGGTTCAGAAACTTGTCATCAACATCTGCTTTTCACTCTAGTTGTACAAAAGCTCTCCTTGGAGTCCTGTGAGGTCCCATGAGTTTCTCAGGACTTTTGGAAAAGCTGCCCTGAGTTTTGGGGGTATTTGTATCAGATCCCTAAGTGGGAGCTGCGGGGTTTCAGCAGGAGGAAGACCCATGAGAATGGACTGATCCTGCAGCACAACTGGGAATCCCATTCCTCCTGTAGGTCTCGGCTTGCCCAAGGACACCCAGCATTGTTTGGAATACCATGGCTACTGCTTCCATTTGAAATCCTGCCCGAAGCCTTTTGCTGCGTTTGGAACTTGCTACCGGCGTCGGAAAACCTGCTGCATAGGTGTGTGTGTGGGGACCCTGCCCAGGCAGGAGAGGACTAAAGTCAGCAAAACTTGTCCTCTTTGCCTCCAAATCATAGCACCATGGAATGGTTTGGGTTGGAAGGGCCTTAACACTCATCTCATTTCAGGAATTTCCAGCTCAGGATTTTTATATTTAGGAATCTTTGTGTTTAAGAGTCCTTACTAGATTTCCCCTCCCACCTTACATTAGGAATTCCTTCTGTTTGTTTTAAAGCTTCCTCCCTCACAATTTTACTCAGTGCCACCTACCTGAAATGTAAACATTCTGCATTTTCTTCACACCTTTACAATATCCCTCCTTCAGTTAATTCTTTTCCAAGCAGGTCTTAAATTCACTCTTTTACAGAAGTGCTTTGATAAGCCCCAAAGTCCATCTTTGTGCCTTTGCTTTTGGAGACACAGTAACCACCACTTCCCAACAATTTCTGATGTATGAGCTGGTTCAGATGACAGTGTCATATTTTTTTGCTCTGACTTATATCCTCTAAATTGCAGACACGACATCAAACTTCCACATTTGTCAAGAGGAGGGGGGTCATTGTGTACCCCCAGAAATCAGATGTCTGCAAGAGCAAGTGGGACTCTGCCCTCGCAGGGGATGGAAGTGCTGCACAGAAGTGTGACAAGGATCTCATGGAATTGTAGAAAACAACAGAAATGCATGGCCAAGAAAACAACCGAGGCTTTTTTTCTAGTGTTTTAGACATGTCTGGTGTTCTCAACATGCAAAATGTGTAATTAACTAGAGGTGATATGTTTCTTTATATAACAAAGGCAATAAATGCTAAATAAACAGGTATAACAGTTGTGTACCTACGAAAAGAGGCAGAATGTCTCTCCATTACACCCACACACAGAAATCCACACAGCTTTGCTGCTGCATCCTTGGAAACCACATCCACTAAGCCTATTTACCAGCCTAATCTTACTTACCAGGTTGATGTTATGCTTGGATGTTTTACAGGATTGGGGACAATTAGTCAGGGAGTCACAGAACCATTTAGGCTGGAAAATACCTCCAAGGTCATTGAGTTCAACCTTTGACGAATCTCCACCTTGTCAACCAGACCAGAGCACTGAGTGCCACGTCCAGATGTTTCTTGAACACTGAACACTTCCAGGGAGTGGCTGAGGGAGCTGGGGCTGTTTGGCCTGGAGAAAAGGAGGCTCAAGAGAGACCTTATTGCTCTCTAAAACTACCTGACAGGAGACCGTAGTCAGGTGGGAGTTGGTCTCTTCTTCCAGGCAACCAGGAACAAGAGGAAATGGCCTCAAGCTGTGCCAGGAGAGGTTCAGGTTGGACATTAAGAGGAATTTCTTCATGGAAAGAGTGGTTAAGCATTGGAATGGGCTGTCCAGAGCAGTGGTGGAGTCACCATCCCTGGAGGGATTTAAAAGATGTGTAAGTGGGCACCTGGGGACATAGTTTAGTGGTGGGCTTGGCAGTGCTGGGGAATGATTGGTCTTGATTATCCTAGAGGTCTTTTCCAATTTAAATTACTCTATGATTCCAGCTATGTTGTTTAATTTGTTTTTTTATAGAGAGAAGGGAAATCTTAACCTTGCTCTTTCAGCCATCCAGTTTAGGATGTGTTCACACAGCAGTGACATTACCACAGCTGAAGGGACAGCAAACAGCAGGGCCACGTGGGGCAGCAGGAATATCACATTTCACAGCAAGAGTTGCACATCTATCACAGATTTACCACCACAGGGTGCATTGCTGAGCCACCTCCTCCACCATTACACTCAGGAATGAAGCCTCCCAAATTCCTCGGAAGCCAAAGCTGGAAAAAAAATCACACCCAGGTTTCAGCTGGACAAAATATTCACACGAGCTCAGATGAAAAACAAATCACTCCCAGCCCGCACCGTTCTCTTTGCAGCTCCTCAGGAGTCTTCCCTTGCAGGTTGCCTCCCTCCCACTCATTACTTCCCAGGACTTTGCTGGCTGCAGGTGAAGGGCAGAGGATCCCTCTGAGACTCTTTTCCCAGCTGGCACCCTACCAGTCCAAAATACCAGCTTCCAGGGAGAGGGGAATCAGGGAAGCCGATAACCAGTGAATGTGAAGCAAGTCAACATTGTTTGGAGCCACAGCACTGGGTCAGAACGACACAAAGGGTTGCTCAGCAGCAGATGTTACTTCTGAGACTGGAATATAATTAACTCCTGCCTGTTCTTTCCCTCTCCACGGATGCCACCCAGCATGCCAGCAGCACACAGAGGCTTCTGCACAATCTCACACTCAGCCCTGCAGTCTTCCAGCAGAGCCAAAGTAATGAGGATTCTTATGTTCATTTTCATCTTCATCTCCCTGACCCAGCACGGTAAGACCAGGAAGGCCAAGGGTGGTAAACAGAGGGATCTGGAACAGGGATAATCTTTCCTCACTGTATAATATTATAGGTACAGAGGAAAGGTGTCCTCAGGTTTCTGGGTGGCAAAATGCATGATTTAATCTCTTGGGGTAACGCAAAAATGAGCAGGGATTCATAGAATCACAGAATGACTGGTGTTGGAAGAGACCTTAAAGGTCATCTAATTCCATCCCCCCTAAGAAAGACGCTGTGAAAATGGGGCAGCTCACTGCCTTTGCAGGAGAAGCCCTAGAGGAGATGCTCTGTGCTCTGGGAGAATATTCCTACCTTTCCTCAGGCTGCAGTTGCCTCCTTGGCAGGGCGAGGACAACCACCCCGACCTCCCATGCACAGTCTTTGCCAGCGTCCTGAAAAAAAAAATCATGATAAAATTTTCCTTCAGGGAGTTTGGTTCTGCAACTTGGGATTTTTAACATGGACGTCTGAAGCTGTCCTGTGGGATGGGGATGCCCAGGCTCCATGTGCTGGCTTGGCTGGCTGGGCACAAAGTGCCACAGGGAGCCCCATGATTTACCCACTGATTTTACTTGCTGCTTCTTTGTACAGGAGATGCTCATGGACCAGAGAGCTGTAACCACGAAGGGGGCTTGTGCAGAGTTGGAAGCTGCATTTCTGGTGAATACCTGGCTCAGTTCTGCTTTGAGCCCATCATTCTCTGCTGCAAAACTTTGCCACCCCCCACCACCAAGAGCTGAAGGTTTCCAAAGGAGCCAGAGAGCTGCAGGCTCCACTGATAAGGCAGGAGCAGCTGTTGGGAAGGAGATCTTGTGGTTTCTGTCACTGTTGCTCCCCTGGGAGAACATGGCTTTGGATTCGCTCCTGAACTCCTGAACACTTCGCTTTTGCTGTGGCTTCCAGGGAAACACTGTGACAAGAAGAAATTGGGGCCACCCAAACTGTTTATCACCCCTTTGGGACTGTGGTTGTTACCTGTCACAGTCAGATGAGAAATTGCCTTTCTCCTTACCTGAAAATAATAAACTTGAAGTTTAAGAGAGCAGCAAGTGCCTGTCTGTGACCTGGCAAAGTTGCTGGAGGTAAGACCCCCTCCCTCTCCCACTGACCAAGAGTGAACACAGCAGCCCTCGCCTTCCCAGCAGAGCAGGGTGACTCTGTATTTCCCTTCCCAGAGAAAACAGTTGTAATTGGGACAGCGATTTTGGCATCACTTTTGGTGCAAAAGCAACCTGGTTTGACATAAAATCAAGTGTGGTCTGTGTTTCTTGGGCAAGAGCCCCCATATCCACTTTTCCTTTCTGGGCTGTGCCAGGATCTTACAGGCAATCATAGAACCAGAGAATGGTTTGGATTGGAAGGGACTTTAAAGATCATCTCATTCCAAACCCCTGCCATGGGCCGGGACACCTTCCACTGTCCCAGGCTGCTCCAAGCTCCATCCAACCTGGCCTTGAACAATTCCAGGGATGGGGCAGCCCCAGCTTCTCTGGACAACCTGTGCCAGGGCCTCACCACCCTCATAGGGAAGGATGTTTTTCCTGAGAGCACAGATTTACTTGTTTTAAACATGGAGGGGAGGGGATCTGAAAGCTGTGTCCCACTGCCCCTGACAGGCTGCCCTGTCCAGCAATGGACTGCATTTCTGGTGCTCTTTCTTTCCTCTGTGGTCACCCAGCAATAGTCCCAAGGAAATTAGCCTCTTTACCCCTAGCAGCTTTCTTCCTGTGAGCTCCATCAGCCTAAATCCATTAGCTGTCCAAGTCTACTCTCAGCCCTTCTGTGTCTTTTCAGCATGAAATTTTGACACTCCCCTTCCTTTGTCAGCTCCTGGTCTCCTTTCTAGGTAAAATATTTCTCTCTGGGTCAATCATTTCTGTGAAAGCAAGAAAACAATGATGTAATGAGAGAGCTATGCCAGTTTGCTGAGGCACTGGTCAGAGCCAGGGAAAAGTCCTCCCTGGGAGATGAAATTCTTGCTCTGATGAATCAAACAGGAAAATTCCCATTGCCCTCAGCAGGGTCAGGACCCATCGCCAGAGATCCAACAATTCATTCATTCCAGTGTCTCCATTCATCCATGAGCAGCCCAACTGTTCTCCAGCACTCCCCTGGAGATCCCCTGCAGTTGGATGAACCCTCAGGAGAGCCAGATTACCCAGACCTGGCTATTGGCTTGGGAACCAGTGCTGGAAACAGTGTTGGGCTGAGCCCAGATCCAAATTCCTCCCCAGATCCAACCCTTGTCTCTGACGCACACTGATGTACGAGGACAGCACAGGGAGGGTTTTAAATCAAGGCACTCTTCCAAATTAAACTGTTTATTTCTCACATTCATCCACAGAGTTCATTATTTGTGCCCCTTATCTGAGAATGTTCACCCACCATGGTTCAGCCTGGTTTCCTAAGGAAGTGAAACATGGGCTCATGCAGCTCACCTTGCGCATCTCCCTGATGGTCACTGGGCCTTCTGCCTCTGATATGTTTTGGACCTGCTGGCCAGTCAGTTTTCAATCAGGAAAGGTAGAAATGCTCAGTTTATAGGCAAAACTGTCCCTCTAGCAATAATGAAAATGTAGGTTGCTGACAGAAGGCATAATCTCTTTAGCATGGTCCCACTCTTCTGAGTCTGCGTGTTCCATTCCTTGCTGATCTGGCTGGAAATAACCCCCCCAAAAAATCATAGAATTTTCATAGAATGATTTGGGTCAGAAGGGGCCTTTAAGATCATCTAGTTCCAACCCCCCTGCCATGGGCAGGGCATTACTAAACTCCTCTGAGTGACCATTTTCATCCACTCAGCACAGAGATGTTCATGACACCACACTCCTACTCAAACACTGTTTTCCAATCCTTTAAACCCAAAAGCCAAAAAATATTCATTATTGAAGCACTCAATAAAAGCCATCCCTAGTGTGACCCTTTGCCAGAGGATTTCCATGCAAGACCACCAGTCCTGCCCAACAGGGACAGTTTCCCAGAGTGTAGACTCACATGTAGTCAGTGGATTCAGCTGAATCCAACCCTTCACCTGCAGGTTTGCACGTAGGAGTAGATGGCACAGTCAGACAAGCTAAGGGGCAAGACAGGGTGGCAGAAATAACGAGAAGGTGAAGTCTGTGATCCCTTGAGAGATGCAGGCTGGTGAGAATTTAAACAATGCTAGAAGTTAGCTCTGAAAACACATTGAGGATTTGTCCTCATGGGAGAAAGCCAAATGGAGGGGAGGATTTCTGTGGGAATGGCTTTGCTGAGCTCTGAACTCCAGCTGTCTGTACCTGATAGAACTCAGAAGGCTACGAAATAGGGATTCTTTAGTACTACCCTATCAGACCTACACCAGCTCCTAAGGGAGATGCAAAACCCATCCAGGCATCTTGAGTCATATATTTGGGGTCCCTGCAGCCAT